CACACTTACTCCATAATCGTCTGGGACTTGGGTTTATATTTAGGATATATGTCCCAAGGGTGTCCCAAGAATTTTTCAGAAATGTAACTAGTAGTCTTAAATTCCCGAAATTTTCAAATTTATACTAAAAAAAAAAAAATTAATCTTCTTTTGATTTGGGTTAGGATGTTGCTCTTTCTAACATCGGTTGCGCTCGTCTCGCACGTGTGTGTGTTGTGTGTGTGTGTGTGTGTGGTGTGTGTGTGTGTGTGGTGTGTGTGTGTTGGTGTGTGTGTGTTGTGTGTTGTGGTGTGTGTGTGTGGTGTGTGTGTGTGGGTGTTGTGTGTGTGTGTCGTTCACAATGAGAGTAGATATCTCTCCGCTTCAGGGCGGTGTGATGAAGGCTGGGTACCCTGGAAAAATCCTTATTATTACATAACTTCAGGTTACCCTCTCCTTTCTAATAGAAAGGCTAGGGCAAACTTAACATCGGTGCTTAATGTGTATACTACAAACAGTTAGAAATTTTTATTAAAGGTACAGTTTTTTCAGTGTCAAACAGCAATTTTGACAAACTTTATATTCTGATACTGTTTATGCGTTGATCTTTCCATAGATGTTTAGCGGTCCTTAGGGCCAGGCGTCGACCGGAATGCCTTTGGCTGATTGAGGGGAACACACATACATGGTCGAGAGTTGTAGGGTCTCGAACATCACTAAAGTTGACAAAATTTATAGAAAGGCCGGAGTAAGACTTTCTTTCTTAACTTTACACTGCCGCATACACCACACTCTGCCCCTCTACATCAAGTAACTACCAAAGTGTGTTTTTTTTTCCAATGAAGTGAAGAAAAAAAAAACTGAACGTTTAATTAGAAAATTTAACCTGTTTGTGTAATACACATTAAGCAACCGTGTAAAAGTTTGCACTACCTTTTTATTAGAAAGAGAGTAGGTAACCGAGTTATGTATGAAAAAGGATTTATTCCAGGGTACCCTCCTATTCCACTCCCTGAAGCGGAGAGTAGTGCTGTGCAGAACAGAAAGAAACAACAATTTAGGATGTAAAGGGTCGTTTATTACATGATGGAAATGAGGACCACAAAGGGAGTGAAAAAGGTTGGATATGTTTATAGATAAATGTATAGACCATAAGTCAAAGACGGTATAATCAACTCTAAAGCTGATTGATCCCTCCACACACCACGTCACCCAACACGCAACCACAAACCTAGTTCCCCCAGTGTCCAAGTTTGGGGGTGACGTAGCAACCCCGTTCTGTGAAAGTGGGGTTTAACGATTACATTACATCTTAAGTCCTCGAGTGGTTCAGGACACAGTTTATTGTCGAAAACTAAGGTTTGGTTTGTATCCGGAATAAAATGGAAAATATCCGAAAAATAGGAGATCGCAAGGGGTATTTGGTCTGCATTTAAAGACACTTCGAAAGCGCTGAGGTTTGACCCGACATTAATACACAAACCAAAACAAAACCCTCAATAAATCCAAAGTCTGCTCCCTTCAAGAACTTGTGAAGTTAATCTCTAGTTCGTATTTACTGGTCAACTTTTGGGAAAACTCTAATTCTACTTGTCTGTGTTCTATCATGAGACATTTGGTGGACCCTAATCCTTGCGTTTACAAAACTTTACTATTTGCCTCTTCGACGGGAGGTTCAAATCTTTTATCGACAATTTTGACGTAATAACGTTCTTAAACTAAGAGACGTTCGACCCGTAAGTCCTGGACAAAAACAATTTCACAGTGATCATTCCTTGTACAAAAAGTCCGTGTTGCGTTTTCGGGACAAAAAAGAGAAATTATTGAAAGTCACAAAGTACTAAACTAAGTTCCGAAAACCCTATTGGTTACGTTTGTACTCCCTAAAGTTTTACTGTCCTTCGGCACGGTAACCGAAAGGCAAATAGCAAAAACGCAGCGAAAAAAAGACCAGAGAAGTTCGAGACTCAAAAAAAATGGAAAAGAGTGACACGTATCACCCTAGGTTATCACTTTAGTCTGTAATTCAATCCACTGACGGTAGATAGTCTTACTAAAGTTGGGTGGAGTTACAGATAGTTAGATAAAACTTTCGATTTTAGCAGAAGATCGACGAACCTACACTTATGAAATGAACTAACTGAGAAGACACAACCATTTTCTATAATGGACTGATTGGACTTACTGTAGTGTAAACTAGTGTCCAACTTTAGAAATTAAAAACATCCTCGGCTAATATAGTAACGAGTCACGTCAATAAAACTAATAAAATAACAAATAAGGGTACAGTTTCAGTGGCACGTCGGTTTTTTACGCATCGACTCACTTCTCATTTACCCCGACATGTACATAAAATGTATAAGACGAACAATAAAATTCTATCACCCAAATAGAAACGTCACTCAAGACAAGAAAGAACGTCATTCTCATTTACTGTAACGGCTCTCTCCACCCTTGTAAGCCGTCGAGGATCGGACAGAAGGTTTTTGACTTCTTTGTCAAACCCCTCCGAGTGACGTTTTAATAAGTATCGGAAGACAATTTTCGACGATGTTAGACACACACACAACACACACACACACACAAACACACACACACACACACACACACACACACACACACACACACACACACACACACACCACACACACACACACACACACACAACACACACACACACACACACACACACACACCACAACACACACACACAAACACAACAACACACACACTTTTGTTCTCTCACAGTCACAAACTCTCTGTGCTCCTTTCGGTTACACGAACTCCTATAAATCAACAACCAGCTATCGCCTCAGTCTCAAAAAATACAAAAAAAGTAAAGCGAGATAGCGACTCCGTTTTGAAAAGGAACTTCTCAACTAAGTCTCCTTCAATCGAGGGAAAAGAATCAACTTTATTTAAGAGTTAGTTTTTTGGGTAATAATGTAATGTACAGTGAATCAATGAAATGTATGGAGTTATGACACCCGTTAGGGGTGTCCTCCGTTAAACCGCACTTCACAGAGTCCCCTGGTGTTGCTGTACGACTGACGTCACCCTCAGCTTGAACGATAGGAGACTAAGGTTTCAGTCCGCGCGATTGGGTGACTCGGGTGTCGGGTAATAGGGATAATGACCCCTTTTGTGGTCTGCCTTTATGTTTTGTACACCATTAATCTTATCGCTAGTAGTTTGTTTATGTTCCTTAACCGATTTCTATTATTAAATTACAAATGTGCTCTTCCATTTGCCAACATAGGCGATGAAAAAGAGAAAGCATATCGGCAAGCAAGTGTGCTCCGGCATTGCCTTGGCGCCTTTGCGCTGGGGAGTTGCTATTGTCCCAGGGTTCCACATATCTAGAAGCCCTGCCTGCGAGACCCCGCGGTTTGCCGAGCACACATGCGGGATATGCTAGTAAGGACTACTTGCTACTTCGGTATCGCGGGGCGGAGAACGACGAGTGACGACATCGTACCAGTGGCATCATGACTGGTACGATGTCTACAATGCAGTTTTAGATGTCGAGAGGAGGTCCTCTTGATGCACTTGATGTACAACATTTAGGTGGCGCCTCCTTATTTTGTCTTCCCTTTGGTACCGTTGGTACGAGCCCCCCAGAAGAAGCGACGAAAACCACATAAAACACCGCCTTTCATGTCGCGGTGAATGTCCGGCCGTATAATGATGTCGCAGAGGTCGCCCAGCTCGCCAGATTACAACTTCCCTTTCTGAAGAAACTATAGCTTAAGCCAAACAAACGCAAGGCACATTACCCGGATCATTTGAGTGTTCCTTATTCATTTACTTTTTATACAGTTATATCTTTTTGTTGACACTCTTAATACCTTTGGTGTACGGTATAGAAACTCCCTTTGCCACCCTTTTTGACCAGTTCACATCTTGTTGAATATTACTTAGCATATGGAGTCACAATTGTTACGTATGTAAAGAAAATAAAACATTATAATAATAATGTAATAAAGAAAAGCAATAAACAGTAGACAAATACATCAATTAGAAACATGGATACTACAGAAATAAAAACCACACCATACGAAAACACTTAAAAAAGAATTTACGTTTCTTCTTTTTTTCATTTAATATTAGAGCTATTACTTTTCCCTACTTCTATAAGCAACCCCCTTTACTTTACTTACGTCGACTCTACAATACCCACACTTCCAATCGTCCACCTTGTTACCACCTTATAATGTATTATTTTATTAGGGTTTCTAAGTTGACAACGAAATTAGGTCAATCAAGAAGATGTATACGAATTAATACTTAGACGAGTATCACTAAATCAGGGCCGGTTCGGAGCTGGAGCTTGAAAAGCACCGGGTTTTCCTTTTCACACCGCAGCGGAGCAGCCTCTTAGCTCCGGAATCCGGTTCATTTCGATCACCAAAAAATTGTCCGGCCAGAGCAAAAGCACCACATACGTCAAGCTTACGTCGAGGCGGGGGCAGGGGCAGGGGCGGGGGCGGGTTCAACTCCTGAACAACAACAAAAAGCCGGCGTTTTATCCAGTTTGTACACAACGATGGAGAAACTTCACAAGCAGCAGTGGTCCACTGAAGAGACCAGCTACCTACTGGGAATCTGGTCTTCGAAGAGGTACAGAGGAAGCTGGAGCACAATCGGCCATTGTTGTTGTTGTCGGTGTCAGCTGTGAGGGGTTTCCGCGCGGTTTGGCTTTATGAAGCAGGCACGCAAACGGTTACGTCATGACGCAAACGATGACGCAATGACGCAGCACCAGTCGGACTCTGGGCAGTGTGAAAAGAGCCAGAGCTAAACCGAAGAACCGGTTCTGAACCTGAAAAGCTCTAGCACGGAGCTTGAACCGGAGTTGCACTGGTGTGAATGAGGTATGTGAAACGAGTTCAGGGACCACAGAGAAGATGGTAGAAGTGAGCGCTCACCCGGATCTCGTGCTCCACCTTCAGGCAGTACGGCTGGTTCTGGTACTGCTGGATCTCTCCGGTGATTTCCGCCACTTTCCTCCTCTTGCTGAAGTTGATCAGCTCTTTGCCGTGGCGCTTCAGGAAGTCCGGGTTCCCCTCCTCCGTCTTCAGGATGTTGGTTAAATATATACCTGAGGAGGAAGGGGAAGAGGAAGAGGAGGTGTTTCATTACTACATTATTATTATTATTATTATGCGCCACTTTCCCCTTTGCTCTCCAGTAGGACTCAGATGAGGGTGTTGCACTTTTTTTATACATGTCATGTTTTGGTGTTGTTTTGTTTCTTTCTGTCAAGTGGGAACTAAGTATTTCGTTTTGTACGTTTTTGTGTTGCTCTTATTTTCCTACGATGCTGTTATGATTGGCTGTGAGTTAGAAAATCTGAAGGACAGATCATCTATTTCTAGTTATTATATGTTCTTTGAGAAAGGGGCAGGTCATGTCAGACGATTTTCCTCTCCCTGCTCCTTTTCGGGTACGGTGTGTTTACAGAGACATGTTTTGTAAATCATTGTTATACATTAAGTTGTGCATACCATGAACGGAACAAATAGAAATGCAGGGTATATGCAGGAATCCTGAAGTCAGATGTAAAACCTTTTAAGACCTTTTTTAAAACCCTTTCCATACATTTTAAGACCATTTTCGCTAAATTGATTTATCAACTTTTAATACTTTTTAAGACCCCGCGGACACCCTGAAATTAAATAAAATGACGGCGAAGCAGGGTCAGAAGTTAGGCACCACATGTGGTCAAATGAAAATAAAAACGTACCAAAGAAAGGCACACAGGGCGGGTTTATTGACTTGAGTTTAGCCAAATATTTCTTAAAGTGGTCCTGACTCAGCTCCACGGCTTCCTCCAGGATCTTCTTCTTCCTCTCCGGTATCGCCTGTTGGTGCAGAAGAGAGAAATAAATTATGTTCAGCATTGGGATTAAAATGCATGTAAAAAACTACAAACATCAGATGTGTCTTAATTATTAATATTAAGGTAAGATTTACAACAATTAGATATTAAAAAAAGATTGATAGCATTTTTTTCCCTTGGCCTGTTAGCATGTAAACTAATGTAAAAAAAAAGTACGCAACCAAAATGTCATTGCATACCTGTACCATTAGTTTTACTCGTCAACACCTGATGCCTACATTACCCACAATGCAACTTAACCAGCAACAGTTTACTTAAAGACTCAGAAGTGTTAGCAGCTGATAATTTAATTCTCACGCCACACCCTCAGATTATTTTATTGTTTTAAATTTGTAGTCTTGAGCTTTTAACAACTTTTATTTATTTTTGTACACATATAGTTGCTGTTGCCTACATTACCCACAATGCAACGTAACCGGTTTGCTTAGAGATTCAGGATTGTTAGCAGCGAATCATTTCTTTCTAACTCCACACCCTCAGATTATTTCTATTGTTTTCATTTGTGGTCTTGAGGTTTTTTTTTTTTACAAATGCAGTTGTAATCAAATAATTTGAGATTTCACAAAACAGCATCAGATTAAAATATAAAGTAAAACCTTCCAACGCTAATTCAAAAAAATTTATAAAAGTGATTTAAGTAATTTTAATACAATAAAAGGCTTAGTTTTAGATGAAGGAATGTAATGCTTTTTTAGACTGTTTAAGGAGCGCTGTTGTTATTCCCTTGTATCTTGTCTTTAATATTTGTGCTTTTTCATGCTGTAAATGGAGCTGCTGTGATGCAGGACAAATGCCAGACTCGATATAATAATAATAATAATACATTTGATTTAAGGACACTGTACAATGTGTTAAATATTCTGAGAGGTAAAATCAACAGAACATGATAAAAACACAAATATGGAGAGGACAATTATGATTATTATTATTATTATTATTATAATGATATGTCAATAAAGTGTTATGGTGTTCTCCCTGACCTCGAAGGTGTGGTCCAGCCGGTACACGGGGACAGAGTTGATGGCGCTGACCACCTCCAGAACGCCGTTGAAGTTGTTGAGCTCCTGGAAAACCTGCAGGATCTCGATGACCCGAGACATCACGGCCACACGCTCCTCCAGGTTCATCGTCTCCACAATGCACCTGAGACACACACAGTGTTAGGAAAATGTCAACTCGTCACTTTTTTCTGAAAATCCCACATTCTGACATTTTTCTCAAAATTCTTTATTTTTCTCAAAATTCTTTATTTCTCAAAATTTGGACTTTTTCCCGAAATCTCAAAATCCTTTATTTTTTCTCAAAATCTCAAAATTCTGACTTCCTCTCAAAATTCGGAAATTTTTCTCAAAATCTCAACATTCTGAATTTTTCTCAAAATTCTGACTTTTGACTAAAAATCTCAAAATTCTGACTTTTTTTTATCAAAACCTCAAAATTCTGACTTTTATCAAAATCTCAAAAAAGTAGTCATCACATACAGAGCATCAACTAGTTCCTGAACAGTGTCCTTCACATGCTGATATCCAAGAGAGGGAGTTACACAGTCACAAGATGGAGGAATAGAAAGCAGTATTCAATGTTTACTTCAGATTAGCTCCACGTCAGAAATGATCATGCTTGTCATATGTCTCTCTCCATAGAGGCTGAATCATCATGTTAATCACATAGCTATCATATGCCTCAAACAGTCCTGATGCTCTTCTAGGTAATCACAAATCCTGTCATGTTCACAGCTACAGTTGGGATACCTTTGTTATCATGTGTACTCTGATATTGGAAGAGGACATTCAGTATTTTCCCAACACATAGTGACAGGTGTGAGATGATGGTCTGATTTAGACTGAAGATAGAGAGTGTGTGTGTGTGTGTGTGTGTGTGTGTGTGTGTGTGTGTGTGTGTGTGTGTGTGTGTGTGTGTGTGTGTGTGTGTGTGGNTAACAGAAAAACCCCAGAGCCTAAATGCACAACCCAATCAACCCAACAGGACACAGGTGAGGGGGGAGGAGACAACACAGGGCACCAGGTGAACATAATCAGGAAACACACATGAGGAAAGGGGAACACTTTTCAGAATAAAACCAGCAAACTAAAACACAGACAGATGCACAAACTACATACACTTCACCACCAACGAAGCTACACAATCCGTAACGGAGGCCGAGATCTATGGCCCCAGAGATCACCTCCGTTACACACACCAACGGTGTTTCAGGGCCGGTTCGGAGCTGGAGCCTGAAAAGCACCGGGTTTTCCTGTTCACACCGCAGCGGAGCAGCCTCTTAGCTCCGGAATCCGGTTCGTTTCAAGCACCAACAAATTGTCCGGCTAGAGCAAAAGCACCACATACGTCACGCTTACGTCGAGGTGGGGGCAGGGGCGGGATCAACTCCTGAACAACAACAAAAAGCCCGCGTTTTATCCACAACGATGGAGAAACTTAACAAGCAGCAGTGGTCCACTGAAGAGACCAGCTACCTACTGGGAATCTGGTCTTCTGAAGAGGTACAGAGGAAGCTGGAGCACAATCGGCCATTGTTGTTGTCGTCGGTGTCAGCTGTGAGGGGTTTCCGCGCGGCTTTGGCTTTATGAAGCAGGCACGCAAACGGTTACGTCATGACGCAAACGATAACGCAATGACGCAGCACCAGTCGGACTCTGGGCAGTGTGAAAAGAGCCGGAGCTAAACCGAAGAACCGGTTCTGAACCTGAAAAGCACGGAGCTTGAACCGGAGTTGCGTTGGTGTGAATGAGGTATATGATGCTTGTTGTAGTTTTCCCTTTCCTCTAGTGTGTTATATAGGTTTAGTGCATGTAAATGGTCTGCAAAGGCTAAAATCCCTGTGTTCCCTCCAGAGGGAGTTTCTCTCCCACACACTCCCAGATGAGGAAAAGGATTCATCATGACATCCACTACCATCTATTTATTCTATGTGCTGATGCTTTTTTCTTTTTTAAGCTGTGGAGCTCAAAAACTGGCAGGTGCTCTTATTGTTTGTGTCACCCTGACACATTCGCTTGTGCTGCTCTTTGTGAACGTGTGATTAAATCAGCGTGAGTATAGAAATCCAAACCCAAAGCAGTTTTGAGTGAAACCTCCTCGCCTTAGAGACACGGTCTTCCCGGAGCAGGTGAAGCCAAGCAACAGATGTGATGCCGGTTTGAACAGATGGTGCAAACATTTAGCAAAAAGGTCAGGTGGTCTGGTGCCTGTGCTTCTCTTGCAGCACATTGATTGGGCTTTTTTTAAAGGAAGACCGAATCCATGACAAGAATCCCTCTGCATGAAAGTGGGATCAAGAGCTTACAGTCCCTAATTACTAACAGTGGGCAGCTATTTGACATATTCCTCATGATTTGACAGGTGCTTTTGATGAGTATTGCTTTCTTAGACAGCTGAAGTGTTTCTATTTATTCTACTCTTTTTTTTTTAAATACCTATAAGAAATAACATGCATGCAAATTGGTTATAGAGGATGTAGATTTAGGATCTCTACATTGTGTATCACCTTTTCTGTCGTCATACATCTTATCAAATGTCTATCAATAAGCAAACTGTGCTCCCCTGACACATCGTACATCTGGGATCGCTAATTAAGATGACGTGTAACATAATTAATGCCTTCACTCCGCTAATTAGCACTCACTTAGTGCCTTAGCTTTGGAGATGTGAAAATCAGCGCTAAACTAGTGTTCATTTTATTCCACACCACAGTCATGTGTCGCAAGATACCACATTAAGCGATTTGAACACTAAAGATGTCTTATTGCTTTTTAGAAATGCACCTGTATTTATTCTTTAACTTTAATGCGCTGTTGAAGTGTCTCTACTTCTGTTATGAAGTTGTTTTTTAGTGATTTTAGATGTGTGGCCACGAGTACATGAGTGTAGCCTTGAAGATGTTCTCTACCTCTTTCCCTGCCATCCCTATCTCTGGCAGTTTGTAGAAGCGCCCCATCAAGGACACTTCAGCCACGTGTCAATCCGCTGATTCCCGCCGAGAGATAAGAAGGCTGTGAAGGGACTGCGGAGGGGCATCTTGCATAATTTATATTGAGCAAAAAATCTATTTGGTGGCATAAATTACTCTGATGTTAATTAGTTGCGGATTGGTCTTTTACAAAAGGTGCATTCTAAATCACTTCGGGGAGAGAGACTCGCTGCACCAAGACAAGCTGGATGGTTCAGACGGTGATAATTTCACATGATGTTATCATGGTAAAACGGTCCCTATGAATACATTGGAAAAGAGACTATTATTATTTCTAGTCCCTCTACTGCCAAGGCAGGAAACATGGAGGGAAAGCTTGTGTTGGAGTTGTCAAGTTCTCCCTCCCTACTCCCCCGTCTCCCTCCTTGCTCCTTCACACACTGTAAACTGTACACACACACACACACACACACACACACACACACACACACACACACACACACACACACACACACACACACACACACACACACACACACACACACACAAACCACCCTCGGTCAGGGAGATTGCTTACCAGCGCTTAGTTCAGTGGCGATGCCCAGTTGGGCCTTGATGTAATGGAAATTGATTGCACTGCTCCCAGGCTACACTGTCATGACAAGTTATTTTAATGGCACTAAAGCGGGCTTATGTTGAAGTTTAAAAGGAGGGGGGCGGAGGCAGCCCAGTGACTCCGGGCGTAGTTACAGCATTGCAAGGCTATTTATTTATTTATGAGATTGCACAATGTTTCTCACAACCAAAAAAATACAGACGGCGAGTTTACAATGAGAGATAGAGAGGAAAATAATGGTGGGGTGGGATCAGTGATGGGGGGGTGACATTTCAGAGCAATTTTCCTTCAAGTGTTAGTGCCTCAGGAGTGAATAGTGGTTGAAGTGAGCTACAAAGGTTACAATTAAAGAATGATTTGTGTCGTTTAGTGTACATTTAGCTGTCACTTCTATCATGGTACAGTATAGTGCATACAGGCCATCTACTGTATGTGCCCATTTATCCTAGCAGTAACCTGCCAAGCATTGAAGATGGACATTTTAAGCCAAGATGAAAGCTGTTGTTTATTGGCCTCACGCAGGTAATGGTTGCAACATAAAGGCTGTGGCAGACCAAAAGTTAAAAAATAAAGAAATATAGAGGAATTAGCTTTTTGTGGAGGCCCTATTCTGCTCATTTTCAGGTTCATATTAGTTCTGTGTGTCTCTACTGTGACATGTCTCCATGCTTTAATGTTCAAAAAGCTCTTTATTTTTCTCATACTGCATGTGTTGCAGCAACTATTTTCACCCTCTGTCTGAAACCAGAGCCTGGTTTCATTGGCTAGCTGGCCGGCTCTGTTGTGATTGGTCAACTGCTTATCACGTAGAAGTGTGTTGGAGTGCTAGCTATTAGAAACGTGGAGGGAGTTTGGGGAATTAGCCTTTGCTAACCATTTACATGCACAGAAACCTATAGAACACACTACAGGAAAGGGAAAACCACAAAAAGCATAATAGCCCCTATTTAGGTGATGTGTGTTTCACAGGTAGGATCATTTCTTGCTAACAAGTTGCATTCAGGTAACTCGTAGCGAAGGTTGTCTGAGGCTTGCTTGGGTTGCATTTGTATTATTGGAGGAGACTTGGCTGTACTTTGCCATAGGCAAACTTCAGCAGAAGTTGTTTACTCTGTCTGCCATACTGTTTCCTCTTCTGTTTTTTTCCTGTTTTTTGTCTTCTTCTGCCCTCCCTGTATCTGGATACGAGAGTTGGGCGGTTTACTTTAAAATGTATTCCATTACAATTACTAGTAGCATGTAAAAAAATGTTATCGTAATCTTGAGTGTCAAAATATTAAAGTAACGTAACCTGATTACTTTGTGAACCACAATATACAATGCAATGCAAACTTTAAGTATTGCGTTTCCCTCATGTTTTGTCCAAGTAATGCTCACTGTGGGACAGTCTGGCCAAATCAAAAGGTCCCTGCTCTTCTTGACAGCTAGAGGAGCCAATTACATTCCTGTGCCTGGTCTGAAACAGCCGTCACCGCCCACCATGAGTAATTATTACCTCACATGTGGGATGTATAGTGTCTGTGGGCGGCGGATTGCGATGGTGAAAACTGATCTTGCGCTTTGGCCCTAAGGAGTGCCACTGCCATGCTTTACGATGACAAAGGTAT